AAAAAAAAGCAGCTTGCCCTAAATAATTATGTTTATCATTGGACTCCCACAGCTGCGACCTCGTTCGCAGGCTGATAAAAACCTTCCTGGAATGTCACGTGGAAGGAAGCCTTGACTGTCATCTGAAGTCCTGTTTGCAGGTTTCTACAGGCCATGTTGAGGACCCAGCAAATGTAAAATAAGGTCTTGTGCTCAGATGAGACCAGAATACAACTTTCTGACCTAACTATCAGTCTATTGTGTGAAGCAGAAAACTGGAATGACATTTAGTCGTGCAGTGACCGTTACAATTGAAGGGTGCAGATCAAAGCGTATTACAATGGAGTCTGAAACTATAAGGATTCACGAATCAGCAGAAACATTTGCAACCCAAACTTCAAAGCAGGAGAATCCAGCTGGAGAAAACGATACCCGAAGCTGTGTGAGCAAAGTGACAAGTCTCCAGCATGTGATGGAAGGTTTTAGTGCGCAAAGAGTTGAGACCGTTTGGATGAAACTGTTTGACAGGAGCAAAGTGTCTGTGAGGGGCCAACTCGACCTGCTATTACAGCTATGAGGGGGCTAGAAAGTTTAAGAAGAAACACAGAGAAAACAAAAAGGAACAGATGGACACACACATCCCGCGCCGTGACTGTTTGGGTAACCTTTTCTATGCGCCGACTATGCAAAGGCTGCAGGTTCATATCCATGCAGCACCCTCTGCACACAGGGAGTGCTGTTCGCTCACTCAGGTCCATCTTTATTCAGTTATGTTAATGTTGTGTCAGGCAGGAGCAGATTATGTTAAAGGGTCTGAGGGGACGGCATGAACAGAAGAAGAGAGTCCTTGAAGCAGGAGGAAAGACAATGAGTTGTCTTGGACTTCACAGTCATCTAAAAGGGGACATATGCAAAATCCACTTTTTTAGCTTTTAAATGTTTTTTGTTGTTGTGTACTTGGAATCTATAGAAGTGCAGAAAACTTTAATTTAGTTTCTCACTACATCTTTTCATTAATTTGTAAAAAACAAAAAAAAAGTTTCTGTACCACTTAATAGTCGTAAACCCCTCTATCAAACTTGAATGGATCACTCTGGAAGCTGGAGGTGGGCGGGGTGTGAAGCTCCTCGTTTGGATTGAAAGAGGCAGCTTCAATATGAGTTGATATGAGACACACCTCAGAACAGGGGTGAAAGAGGGGCTTGTGGAATTACAATAAGGATGAATTCAGACCAAAGCATTGCAGTTCCACTTTATGTAGACCCCAACTGAATGATTTAAATGTGAAAAAGGATGTAAAAGCATGTGTCCACTTTAAAATCACTCCAATCTACAATAAGTCTTTTAGATGAATATTAGGGGTGCAACAATACATGTACCCGTATCGAACCATTCAATACAGTGCTTTAGGTTCAATACACGCTTGTTTCGAACAATACAGATTTATAAAATTTATTTTATCATATTGTCTTCTGAAGCTGTGCTGTTGACGGCTCTGTCGATCTGTGTTCGACTACTCCACCTAGGCTGCATTGTCGAGCACTGATCCGCCTAGAAACTTGCTGTTTCAGCAATATTTAATTTAAAAACTGTACTTTTGAGGTACAAATGTTCATAATTAATTTCAACAAATTACAAAATATGAAGAACCTTGGAAATTTCTCTTTTTTGTATCGAAAAAATATCAAACAGTGAGACTAAAGTATCGAACCAAACCGAATTGTGAATCTTCTGTGTCTTTGCACCTCTAATGAATTATACACACACACACACACACACACACACACACACACACACACATTATTTTATATATATACTGTATATTCTTCATTTTGGTTTACTGGACAATTCAGTTGCTTCAAATACAGTCATGTTTTCTAATTTGTGTTTTTGTTGGTGTAAATTTTCCATGGTCATACGTGCCATCAGGTGAAGCAGTAAAGAGCTCGTCACTTAAAAAAATATAAAAACAGACAAATACAACATGGCAGACACTTCTTTTTGTGCAGACATTAGTTTTGTAATGTCAACTTACCACATGCAAGTAATGAGACACATCAGCAAATTATAAAAACTAAAATAAGAGTTAAATAAATAAATTTTTAACTCGACATTAAAAGCATCAAAACCCGATGAGGTAGAAAAAGAGATCTTGCTTGCAAAGAACGCTGAACATAAAAGTGTGAACATGCATGCGTCCAAATGCATTTTCCCCTTTAAATACCTACATGCGTGGATATCGCCATCTGTCATTTAGAGCACATTGATGTAAGTGTGTACTTCCATAAATACGGTGACATTACCATTCGGCGCACACACCGACACGCTTTTATTACCCAACATGCTCAGACACAGCAAGTGTGCAAATCACAGATTCAACGAAGGCAACAGCCAGGGAAAAGGAAGGAGAAGAAAGAATAGAGGGTGAATGTGACAAGATTTACAATGATATCATTAACCTTGAAAAACAGAGAGGCCTCTTTGACAAACACCATCTCACTCACAGACACCCTGCAACAACACGACTTCGTGTTTTTATACTTGGGCACAATGCACTGTCTCATGCTCAGAAACAAACAACAAGAAGCAAGCAGATGTGATTAAAACACATAATTAATGCATATGTTAGGGATTTGTGCACCGACACTCGACATGTTATGAAAAACAGGATTTCAGAAAATGTCAAAAGAAAAATGAAAGCAGATCCTGTCATTTTTTTTTTGCAAATTTACCAGAACATTTCATGTAAAATCTAAACATAACTTAATTATAACATGATTATTACAAACCACAGCACTCTAATTGTGGACATTTTTGACATAACCTGAGTGGCAAAACAACAGGAAGCCTATATACTGTATTCATATGGCCACTGCTGTGACAAAAAATAAATAAATAAATAAAAAATGCAATGAAATGCAAATAAACAGATTTATCACCCAACCACTATTTATTAAATAATAATCTTACATCCTTTCTGTTATAAATAACTATAAAAAAGATACATTTCATAAAATGTCATACAGTCATTTACAGGTGAAGTCAGAGTTAAAGCTTTGTTTAGACAAACCCAGCAGTTAACCAGAAAAACACTCTCATCAAATAAAAATCAAAGGAAAACCATCAACTGGCACAAAGGCTCATGGGATATAAATCAACAAAAAGACTTAACAATGCATTGAACAGCAGTCTTTGTCAATTATATATATATATATATATATATACTTTTTTGTTAAATAGGGGCAGATGTTATAAGATTCTTTTCTTCTTCTGCTTCCTTTCATTTTGAGATTGTGTTTCTTTTTTTGTTGTACTGAAATTTTTGTTTTTAAATCAAAATGAATAAAAATATTAAACTAAACTAAAAGACAAAACCCATGCATACATGGAGAGAACATGCAAACATGTAAATTCTTGGGAAGGGGTTTAAAAAATGGAAATCTTTTTTTTTGCGATGGGAGTTCACTAATGGTGATATATTTATGACATTTAAGTTGGTTTTTTTTTAAATCTTCACCTATATTTTCATCTTTGGGTTAGTGCATCAGTCTACAACTAGAAGAGGCAATGCAAGGTTGCAAGATGAGTTCTGTGATATTCTTTCTTTAAAAATACATCCTAACTATGGTGAAACTGATTATATAACATGAAAAGCACTAAGGCAGCTATTGATTTAATTTTCCTTAGTATTAAGAAGAGATGGTCTGTTTTAATGTGCCTGATACTGTTTGAAAGGGGGAAAATGAAAGTGATATTATTATTTTGCAAATCAAAATTATAAATGTGTTTTTCATTATATATACCAGGGCAGATAATACATGTTCATGGTGTTCTAGTTGGTTTCAAATTTTGTTTTATTTTTATTTTATTTTTTTATTTTTTGGGGTGGGGGGGGGTGTCGACAAAGTGCTGTGGTTAAACTTAGTGAAGTATCAGTTCAATACCATTCTGAAGCCTTTTTAACTGTGGGCCTTTTAGACCTTTAGAATACAGAAATGACCACTTAAACTGAGACTGCACACAGATGATAGTTTTTGACTGAAATATAAAAGCGTAGCAGAATTGAGTTGCTGAAAATTAAAGTCTAAAGACTTCATGCTTGATTCAAGCTTCTGTTTTCTGGATAGAAACACTAAAACTTTGTCAATGTTTGACAAACTAATAAATATCATTTTAGATCAAGATGAAATGTAAATTTCACCTTGATGCTTTTCCTGATGGTGACTGACTGGACTCATTCCCGCTTTGCCCCCCACTTTACAGCTTCATGTCTATATTGAAACCAATACTTGATAAAGCCGTCCTCTAAGCCTTGGAGTTCTCTCCAACATACCCGGCTCTTTCAGTCTCCTCTGACAATTTTTCTCCAACCCTTTGAGGCTGGCTGTCTGCGTAAGTATGTGCTCAGGCAAAGACGGCCTTCTGCACTAATTGAAGTCAATGACACAAGCTGCAGGGGCGCGTGGACAAATTGCATCTCCATGGAAACACCCGGGCAAGTGTGTCCGTTGAGGAGCCTGCGGTGCTATGCTGGAATGGTGGGTACACTCATTGGGGNGTTGCCGCCATGTGATTGGCTGATTAGAAATTAAGTGTTAACGAGCAGTTGGACAGGTGTACCTAATAAAGTGGCCGGTGAGTGTATATATATAAAGTCAGTTTACCAAACAAAATAACAAAAAAAGTCTTTAATATATTTGGCAATACATCATTTGTCTCAGATCTGTAAATAAACATTTAGTAGTTTTTTTCCGCAATATAAAAAGGTCTAAAATGGTAAGAGGCTAGTTATCCATTTAAGATAAACAATTTAGTTTTTTTTAAGTAAATAATCCCATTCAATGTGCAAAACCTTTGTTTAAGGTTCACATTTACAACAACAATCAAAGTGATAGCGGTGTATGACAGCAGGTGAAAATGGTTAAACCTCGTACTATGATAAATATGTCAAAGTCAAACTAAGAGAAAAAAATATGTTTCAATTAAGACAAACATTATGTAAATAAAACTGGAGTTTGGACTTTTCAATAGAAACATTGTTTATTTATATGAATGATTTGGGTATACTGAAAAACAATCATATTTCTGCTACAGTTAGGCAATTCATCAAAATGGTTCAAATCGGGTCCCATAAAAAGTCTTTTCTCACTCAGGGAAGCATATTGTGGATGAAAATTAGTCTCATTAGAATCAGACATTTTAGACATTGAATTTATCCTTTGCAATTTTGTATGTGATTATTATTATTCTTTTTTTATTTCAAATTTGCCAGAAAAATTTAATCTGCAAAAGTTCACCTGGAAAATTTCATCTGCAAAAATGTGCCTGCAGGTGTTGACTTTCTGGTGACTCAAGCCAAAGCAATCATCACAAGATCGAGTCCAACGGCTTTTAGCCAATCAAAATATGCTTGTTTGATGCCGTTACACACCAGTGCGTTGGGCAGAGGTCATTAATAAGTGTGGCGAAGCTGAGTTTGTGTTAAAATGGCTTGCCATAGTTGATGGGAGTGATGCAGTAGCTGCCATCAGGTCAGTCCCACATTTCACCCAGTTTGATTAGATGAAATAACAAAACTCGATTGGCTGTCAGTTAATAGCAGGTGTTTTCTAATTATCTCTGCCTAACAGAAAAACCTTCTCACTTATCTTTCTTCAGCCACAACCAGTTAGCTGTTAATAGAGTCACCTCTGCCCAGCACACTGGTGTCATGTGATAAAATCAGCATAATTTGATTGGCTAAAAGCCGCTTGACTCGATCTGGTGCTGGCTGCTTTGGCTTGAGTCAACAGAAGGTCAACACAGTTGCAGGCAAATTTCTGCAGTCAAATTTTTTGCTGACAATTTTGAAGTAAAATTTAGTGTTATAAATTCAATGTCTGAAAAATGTCTGATTCTAATGAGATTATATTTTTCCCATAGCCCACTTATAGCTTTTGCACTAAAAAAAAACAAGCAGTCACTACATTTCTCAACACAAAAAGCATAAAAAAAACAACCTGAATAAAATCAGCTTCTTCCTTGTGTTTCATCACAACTGCACTGCAACAAACCAACCTCAGCATTTTACCAGCTGAAAAGCAACAATTAGAAAAATCACTAAATTAAAAGCAGACAGTTAGCAGCTTAGATGTTTTGAACATCAATAAAAACTTGCAGCTCTTGTGTGCTGAGGCACAATTTAAAAATAAATGCTTAAATTAACTGTCAGTAAATGTTTGGTTCAAGTAAATAGATCAAAATTTGTAGATTTCTTCTGCTTGCATCGCTTTAAGCAACTCTTGGAATTTATGTGTTAGGACTTAATGAGTCTTTTAAAAAAAACAAATAACTTCTTTTTTTACAGTTTAGTAAAAAATAAACAACATTGCTTATTTAGTTTTTGCACTTGATAATGGTGATTTGATGGGTTTTCAGTTTCACTTAAGAGTTCAGAATCACTTCTCTCTTTCCACTTCTTATTCTCTAATTAATTGATGTCACAAAAATTACATTTAATTGTAGTTTTCTGTTAGCAAATTTGTAGACAATAAGTTCAAGCTTAAAAAAAAGTAGTTTAACTTCTAAAATTATCTACAGATTTCAATAATGCTTCATTTAAACCATCTTCTGTAAAACTAAAGTGCTTTCTGATATCCAACAAAGTAACTCTTTTATAGTTTGTCATTTTCAGACTTTAATTCTCCTCCATTTAGAGCTAATCTAGTGTTTAACACCTCAACAGAGAGAGACGTTTGTTAAATGCCACAACCTTTGCTTCGGTTTGCGCTGCAGCAGCAGAGTCAGAACATTCTGCCTCCAAAAGATTGTAAACATCTTGACACAGAAGTCAGTGTTCCTGCTCCTTCTGTCCTGTTCAGAGCAGGTCGCTTCCATCGTAGACCACAGGCTTGTCTAGACCCAGGTGATACAGAACTTTCTTTGAGATAAACCTAATTAATAAAAGAGATTGCCTTATGTTTCATCTCAGAGCAAAAAATAAATAAAAATAAAAACAGTGATCTGTGTTTAGAAGAGGATGAATGTCGTGGTTAAAGTTAAAGGACAAAAGAACTAACCTGGAGAACGAGTTGTCAAAGATGAAGATGTATTCTCCTGGGTTTCGGACTTTCAGCTCCCCCTGTATCGTCTCTTTGTGAGAGTTACAGCGAGTCAAAGGAATCAAAACCTGCAGGAAATAAAAGGACAGAAATACCAGTTAGTTCTAAAATATACAATCAGAACACAGCCAGAGTCAGCTCAACATTCTCATAATACTATTGACTGTAGATTAATATTTTCAGAAGGGACTGGAAACACTTTTATCTGTCTCAGTCAACATTTTGCAGCAACCAAGGTTATTCACCATACAAAGTCAGTGGAAACTCTTCTTATATTGTCACTGTTTGCTAACAGTTGCTCCATCTGCACTGAAGAAAATAAATCTTTTAATTATTTTAGCAAGCTGGGTGATAAAGATGCCTGTATTCAGGGTTCATGCAGGGTCTTAAAAAAGTCTAAAATTTGAAAATCAAAATTTTAGGCCTAAAAAAAGTCTTAAAAACACCCAGATTTTCATCCAAGGTCTTAAATTTAATTTTGTCAAGTCTTAATTTTTTTTTTTACTTTCAATCATTCCGGAGAAGCGTTGGCTGCATAAATAAACAGAGTAAAGTGCTGTAATCAAAGGTTGATGTGATCTGGCTTCATGAAGTGTTAAGTTTGCTACCGGTCTTGGTCTGTGGTTAAACTACTGTAATAACTGCAGGCAAAAAAGGCACAGTTTACTTCCATGTTTTTGACCTCTTTACCTCTACAATCTCCCGCTGCTTGTTGTTTAAACATGGGAAAGTGTGTTTTCAATGAGACTTGGCTTCATATCAGGGATTTTCGGTTGGAAGCTGACCACAGCAATCAATATGAAGGTCTCATAGATATGACCATTTCATTAAAATAATTTAGTGTTCTTGTATTAAAATGAAATATTCTTTAATAGATAAATTGATTTTTATAAAATGTTTCTATGTTAAAATTTCTGGGACGGCATCGGTTTGGTCTTAAATGTCATTCCTAATGGTCTTTAAAAGGTCTTAAATTTAACTTACTGAAACCTGCATGAACCCTATGTTTTACACAGTGAGTTAGTTTTCACTTTCTAGGTGACTTGGGGTGGTTCTGAGTAAATCCATCCTGAAGAAGGACAGGTCTTTCTGCTTAAATCTGGATCTGAAACAGAACCAGTACTCGTCTCTCGTACGATGAGCTGCACACCCGTGTTGAAGCAGGTGCCAGTCTCTCACCTTGGCCTCCTCCAGCGGCGTCTCTGCATTCTCCCTGTAGACCACGCTGAAGGAGATGCTCTTTGGTTCTGATGTAAAAGTCCAGGAGACGGTAGGACCGGGAGAGCTCATGGTGATGGGGAGGATGCTGTAACAGCTGGACTTGATGAAAAGCTCCCGGGAGCTGTCCCCAAATGCTGAGATGTCATCCACCGTGAAAGGAGCAGAGAGCCTACAGCACAAACACAAACACTTCAACATTAACTGTTTATTTACAGATTAACGTCTTCCTAATTGTAATATTTTCATTCAGTGGAAATAAAAACAAAAGTACTATATTCCCTCTGCCAGCATTGTAAGATTATTAAATATAATGTAGGAGGTGATTGTGGTCTTTAAATCAGAAGCTCATTCCAGCCGCTTCATAAAGCAACAGGCATTGCCTTGTTTTATAAGGCAATACTTGAACTACTGTATAACCTTCATATGTAAGGTTGTACAGAAAGTGCTGGTCCTTACTCTTTCTGTTCATGTGACACTTTGATGCTTTCAGTTCCATTTGCTTGTACAGAATTGGGTAAAAAGGCTCTTGCTTATTCTGCACATTTTGCATGGAATATGTTGCAGAATAACAGACTTCTTCGACAGACTTTCTTGATTTGTTTTAAAATTAATACTGAGGAGATCTGTGCTTAATTCCATCATACTGTATGTACACGTTGTTCTTATTTCCTTGTTTAGATTTGGATTTGTAACCATGTAACTTAATTGTTCTTACTGCTGCCTATCTTGGCAAGGACTCTTATTTTTCCTGGTAAAATAAAGGTTTAATAAAAATAATGATCTGCCCACACAAAAAAATAAATTAATTAATTAAAAAAAATAATTAAAAAAAATACATGGCAAGCAAGTATTAATTATTTCAATAAGGTTGTGACAGTACATTTCCACACAATTAATATTTAACTGCACATTTCTATTTTAGGCTGCTGATTTATTGAAAAAATATACAACTGCATTTAAGTATGAAGCCATCAAATAGATTAAAGAGCTACAGTCTAACACTGGGGTGCATTTTTCACCGAGGGCCAAATGAGCGTTATGGTGGCCCTCGAAGGGCCACTTGTAATGAACTTTGATGTTTCATGTTTAACTTTGACTAAACAGAGTTTTAACACGTCCTCTTTTAAACACTGATTAGAACTAAGTGTATGACTGACTAAATCTGTAATAAATACAGAAATATTATTAAGTGTTATGTTTTTTTTTAAGTGGGAAATTTCTCCTGCCTTGAACTACAAACACAGGGCTCCTGTACTTTCATCACACTAAGTGCACAACTTTATTTAAGGTGACTGTTCTCAAAAGGTCACGGCTCAAAAACTGCACTACTAATCAGAAACAATCGCCTGGACTTCTGAGATATATTTCAGCTGCAGCTGAAGGCTTTAGCTTGTTGCTTAGCAGCTCCTCGATGAGGCAGACGGCTTGTGACACGAGGCCTTTAAGTTTTATCCATTCCCACAAAACAAACCTCAACTTACATAACGAAAAAAAGATTTTAGAGAAGCGGTTTCTAACAAACATGACTTTAAGTTTCCATTTTATGTTAAACTCAAAGTAGAAACTTCCTATTAGGACAAGAAAAATCTAATGTGGTATTTTAAGCACAACTCTGCTTCACTTGTGGGTTTTGTTGGTCATTTTCAGTTTGAAACGTACGTGAGTTCCCCTGACTTCAGTAGGCAGATCTCTGCATCCTGTACAGCAGTGCTGAGGTCCTCAGTATCTTCTGAAGTGATGTCTCCTGTGCTGGCACTGCTGTTTCTGATCCAACAAATAGAGGATAGCACATCGAGAAAATTAAAGGAAAACATGAACTGAATGAAAAATAAAAAAAGAGGTGACACAGGAATCATACTGCAACCAGAAGGCTGATGTGATTATTGAGTCTTAAAGGTTGTTTTACGCTTTTACACATTTTTTTAAATGTTTAAAAAGGTTAGGTCAAGTTAGGTTTAATAACAACTGAGAAATATTCAGTGCACACGCATAAACTGGTTATTTAATCAGTGCATGCATGCAATTAGCCATGCCATCCTGTCAGACTAATTAATGTTTTATCACATATCTTATTGTTAGTATTGATCTGAGTCTGCTTCCAAGTTAAAACTGCAACAAAATTATAACACTGGTGAAAGATTTATTTTAAATTTGTTGCTCCTATTTTTTTATTTGCTTCTAGACTTGTACTCAGATGTGCTGCAAAGTTAAATTAAATCCATAGTTTTTACAAGAGGCAGAAAAATGCAGCTTAGTGTTAGCACGTCACACTGCAGTTTATAATTCCTGTTGCGGTGTGCTTGTGATTTGTTGTGTGCGATAATTACAGCTGTGCCGCCCCCTGCTGGTCATGTCCAGGAGCGCAGGCAGTGGTGAAAGAGTCACTGTTGTTAACAACGCTCACTTCTTCCTCTGTGATAATGTCGAAAACACCATCATCTGACTTTCCTCCTTCTTCTCCCCCTGAAAAAGTAGCCATCATGTTTGTTAATATATTTATATATATCAATGTCAACCTGCATGAAAAGTGCACACTAAAATAAAACAATGAACAGCTGTTGCTTCACCTGCGATACCAGCCAGAGATCGGGTGGTCTGCAGCAAGCGACTGAACGGTGACCCTGGAGCGCTGTGGGTCACCTCCACCTGTGGGTGGCGCTCCACCACCGCACTGTGCTGGTTGTAGCAGTCAAGGCAGCAGCGCTCTTTGCTGCCGCCCTGCTCGGTGCTCACTGTGTTGCTGCAGCAGTAGTAGCAGAAGGGACGCCCACACAGCCTGGAGGACAGAACACGACAACGACACAGAGTGTGATGCGAAAAAGAGGCTACAAGTTGCAGAAGTATATGTAAACATGCATAAAATAAAATCACGGTTAAAGATAATTTAAGAATTCGCTCCAAACCTGAAAATTTTAAAGCTCAAACTTCTGTTTTTTTTCTTCCTTTCAGCTTTGATTTTGATATAATTCAACAATCCTTGATTTGACAGGCCCATCTGCACAGAGCTGCGTGTACTCAAGGTCACGGCTATGTAAGGCTGTCTTTCCAAATTTAATACCGCACTACCACTCAGCGGGCTAAACTGCTTGACGAATTCATAATAAATGCTGTTAGTTCACTCATTAAAATAGAAAAGGGAGGTTTTGTTTTTGTTTTGCTGGTCTAATCAGCTACACTAATGTTGACAAATCAGCTGTGCTAACCATACATTTAATATAATGATAAATCTAATCTACGTTGTTACATTTATTATCTTTTAGCAGTACAAGCACAGCTATAGAGGCTCGAATCAATAAAAAAAGAGGATATACAGCTTTACACGGAGTTCATAACTCTAAAAGGGGAAGTGAAATGTTTGTAGGCTTTAAGAAGAAGTTCCTTTGACATTTGTCTGTGTTTACCTAAACCCATTTCTGTTTCTTGCAGAACAAACTGGAAGGCTGCACAAAGCAAATCACTGTACTAATTTCTAAGTTTTTAGTCTTTTAAAATTACGAAGCAGCACTAAATGAAGTAATTCTGCTTGACAAAATTAGAATATTTTTCTTATTACATGGAGAAATACTATACAGTATGTGACCTGCAGTTGTATTTGCGGAACCAAAAGCTGAACTGAGTGTGACAGCCTAAACAATAGTTGACGTCCCGCTCCGTCTCCTCGTCCCGAAGTTTCTGCTCAAACTCCAGGGCATCTGACTTCTGCCAAAGTGCATCTTTCTCTCTGCAAAAAAAAAAAACACAACAAAGTGTCACTTTACAGAACCTAATAAGTACACAATTGTGCAAACGTATCGACACGCGGATCAATCCAAAACAAAAGCAAGAATGTCCACAAATCAAACAACAAAGTCAGTGTTCAATGGCTCAAATGTCACTGAAGAAATCCAATCAATCTTGTTGAGATTAAAAAGGATGTTTGCACCTGATGAGCTCCACAAGTCTTTCCTCCAGGTTGATCTTGGTTCGATACAGATCATCAACTTCAGCAGCCATCTTCAGATCAAACCTCTGCTTGTCCTGCGTGACCCTCCGTAAATTTTCAGCCATCTCCTGACAGGCCCGTTGAGCTGCTGCCAGACTCTCCTCAGACCTGCAATCAGCGGGTAAACAAGCTGAGTCACGGTGTGCCCAAAAAAATAAATAAATAAAATAAAAATCAGGCAGAATCCCAGGTGGCTTTGGCTGTGATCAACTCAGACTTATTTTTAAGCTTAAATTTGAAAAACATCAGCAGATTGTGCAATTATGTACGAAGCCAAATTAAAAATACACAAGATTAAAAATGTTATCAAAAGCTGTTATGTTTTGCGTGGAGAGTGTGATTATAAATACTGTATCTCACCTTGATACGTTTTCTTTTAGACGGATTATTTCATCTTCTTTCTGCAGGATGAGATTTGCCGACTCGGCCATCTGGATGTTTTTCTCCTCAATCTGTTGGTCATATCTCTGATTCTCAGCCTGTGCTCAGTACAGAAGAGAAACACATCATTTTTGGGTCTTTCTGAGGCTTACATGTGACATGATTACTTCACCTAATATTTAGCATTATTCAGCAGAAATCTGAGTTTTGTTACAGGTGTGTATGTCTGTGGGTGTGAGCAGCCTAATTAAGGGGGGGGGGGGGGTATTATGAAAAGTTAACTTTTTTAAGCTTTATATGGTGATAATGTCATTAACTCATCAAAAACATACCCAGAGTGTTGTTTTGAGTCATTCATGCATGATTAAGGAATCCTTGAATCCCCTGTGGTAGCCACGGGGAGCTGCCTAAACACTTCCTGATACAAAGCACCACCTACTTAATCAAAGCTCCTCCCTGGAGCTCAGTTTGCAGCCAGGTTGAAATTTTATATTTAAACAGAGCAAGAACTATGCTAGCCTAACATGTCTGTGTTACAGCAGTTTTTTTGTACTCTATGTTTGACCTAATATTGAGTGGGGAAAAAGAATCAACATTGCTTTGTAAAAACACGAACAAACTTTTTGATGTCAATAATAAAGCACATTTCTAAAAAGTAATCAATTAAGTCTGAAATGTATCAGTTTAATTTTTGCCACCAGTTGTATCTGGCTTTTAATGTTCTAGAAAAACAATCTAAAGTCTAAATTTATTCTCTATTCGCTGAACATCCTGTCAGTTGAATTCAAAGTTTAATCACTCAGAACATCACAGTAAACTCACCTCCAGTTGCTTGAGTTTGCTTTCTAATTTGTCAGCTTTCTCCTGCTCAGTAACCAGCTGTAACTTCACTTCCTGTAACTCCTGATTCATCGTCTGGAATAAAACAGAAATCAGATCATATAAAGGCCTCCAGTATTTGTTTAAAATCCAAATGTTAAAGGACGACACATTTACAAAACCAAATGTAAGTCTGTAACTAAACATGCTTCACAGTCCAGGCCTCAGGTAACTATAAACAGAATGCATGTTTGACTTTGGCTTGTGTTTGCGATGCAGTAGATCTCTCCTTACAGGTTATTATTTCAAATCAGCTGCTTTCTGGAGAACTTCTCTCCTCATTTTGTCATGTTTCTTTTCCAGCTGAGCTGGTGCTCTACACAACAGAGTTTGCTTACATAGAAATCTAAGGCCTAACATAAGGAAGAAAAGTACATCATAAACATCCGTCTCGTAGCCAATTAACTGACCTGTAGTTGGTTTCTGTGGGACACGCCTTGGCTGCTGTGTTCCTGCTGAAGGACCTGAATCTCCTCCCGACTCGTCTTCCATGCCGTTTCCACCTCCTGCTGGGCCTGGCTCAGCTCGGCCTGCAGTTTCTGCCTGTCAGCCAGCAGATCTTCATGGTCGCAGAGCTGACCGCGGAGCTCCTGGTTCTCTCGACGCAGCTGATCTAAGCAGGTGTTCAGCCTCTCGGCCTCCTGAGCCACCTCCTCCTCGTCCTCCAGCTCCCGCAGCCTCGCCGACAGGTCCTCCCAGCGCAGGCGAGCCTCCTCACACTCGGCAGTCAGCATGCAGACGTGCACGCCGAGTTCTGCAGTCTCTGTGTTGGCTCGGTGAAGTGCCTCCTGTGACTCGCTGTTCTCCAGACGTAAGGCTTCGCAGCTGGCCTTCAAACCGTCGAGCTCCTCCCTGCAGCTCGTCAGCTCGGCGGCCAGGCCCGCCCGAGCCCGCGCCTCGCCGTCGCGCTCGCAAATGAGGGCCTCCTCCTGCTCTCGTGATCGGAGCAGCTCGTCCACGTGCCGGCGGTTTAGCTCTTCGACCTGGGCCTTCAGCTGATCCGCCAGAGCGCGCAGATCCTCTCGGGAGGCCTCGGTCATTTCCTGCAGAGCCTGGACCTTCACCTTCTCCTCGTTTCCCACCAGCAGCTGAGCCCTGAGCTCCACCACCTCCTCCCTTAGCCTGGTCACCTCCCTTACGTTAAGCTCCAGCTGAGCTTCAGCTAGGACCAGCCTGATCGGGGAGGAGTTTGGATGCTCGTCGCGGTGTTTCTGCTTCGTTTCGTTGCATTCTGCAGCTCCTTTTTCACGGTGAAGCTCTGCGGTTCTGCTCTCCAGCTCGTCTGCGTGAGCCTGCAGGAGGCTGCTTTTTACCATTTGGGCTCCCAGTTTTTCCTCAGCTTCCTGGAGTTTCTCCAGTAACTCTGCTTGACCTCTTTGGGAGACGGTGAGGTCCTTCTCTAACGTGTCAGCTTTGGTTGCCAGCAACCCGAGCTTCTCTTGAGTAGCGGTTAATTGTGACTTCAATGAGGACTGAGCATCTAAAAGGATTATATTCTCCTGGTGTAACTTTTTTAACTGAACATCCGATTCCTCCTTCTGACAGAGCACCTTCTGAACCATCTCCTCAAGATGCAGGTTTTCGTCTAAAAGCTTCTTCTCTCTGTCCTCTACGTTCAAATTCACAACGTCGATTCTCCCCTTCAGGTGTTTCTCAGAGGCCTTCAAAGCAGCCAGCTGATCTAAGAGGACGGCTCTGCTCTCAGTCAGCTCTGTGAGGCTTGTTTCGCTCTTGTTAAGGCTTTGGAGAAGCTTTGTGTTCATTTCCATGAGACAAGTGTTCCCAGTTTCACAACATAAAACCGTATCAGCGTCATCGACTCGAGAGCCCAGAGTTTCTCTCTCGACGTTTAGCTTCTCCAGTTGCTCCTCCAGGTGTTTGATTTTCTCAGAACTAGAAGCCAGTTCTTTTTCTTTGGTTTTTAACGTTCTTCTCAAATCCAACATCTGCTTCTCGAGCTCCTCGCAGCTCATGCCGCACCTCTGCTCCACCTCCTCCTGCAGTCTCTTCCTCAGGTCCTCTGCTTGCCGTTCCCTGCGGTCCAAAGAGGCCTGCACATCCTGCAGCTGGGCCCTCAAGTTCCCGGTCTCCTTCTCTTTTAAGGTCAGTGCGCCTTGAATTCGGCCGACCACGCTCTGGAGCTCCTCCAGCCGTGCGAGCGCCTCCTCTCGCTCGTCGTGTGCGCTGGCTTTCACTTTGGCCAGCTTCTCCTCGCTGTGCCTCAGCTCTTCTTCTTGGAGCTTCAGCTGCTGAGACAAACGCTCCGAGCGTCTGGCCCCGTCCTCAGCTTCTCTTGTCACCTTCAACCTCTCCTCCTCTGCAGTCTTGATTTTTTCCAGGAGGTCCTGGATTTTCCAGGCTGAATCGCAGAAGCTGGCTGTCTGTTGTCCCTTCTCACTCAGAGCCTCGTCTAACTTCGAAAGAAGCTCCATGTTTTTATTCTCAGCAGCTGTGAGTCTCTCGTGTAAATCAGTAAAGCCTGATTCTCCAAGGTTCTGATGGTGATTCACGCTGTCCTCGTGACCCGTTTCTGAATTCAGCGGGGCAGCTTTAGATGCTGAAAGGACAGACGTCTGAGCTGACAGCTGCTCCTGAAGGTCTTTGACGACAACTTTAAGTTCAGCGCTTTCTTTGTCCAACTCCCGTACCCTTACCAAAAGCTCCCGCTGTCTCAGCTCGGACTGATCGAGCTCGACGCGAAGACTTTCTGAAATGCTGCAAGCAGAAGGTTCTCCTGAATCTCCGGGATCGCCAAGCAGACTCCGATTCAAGTCTGGGACTGGAAAACCCTCCTGTGCCCGGCCACAGCCGTGAAACAGAGAAAGGAGACCTATTGTAAACATTTAGCCACTTTTTTTTGTTTGTTTTTACCTCTTATGATTTACAGAGACTAATCCGATTACCTGTGGGTGTGAAATGCTGCTAACCAGGCTGTTGATGCTGGAGCAACGGCTTGGAGGCTTCCACAGATAAGAGGAGGCAGCGCCTAATGTTCGCCTTTGATGTTATGAAAAAACAAATACAAGAGTTACTTATAAAACCAAACTGAGAGCTAGACATTAGGGAGAGACTTAAAACAAAACAATTATTTTTATTGAATTAAAAAAGTTAATTTATTTGTTTTAAAGGCCTTGTCACACTATAATATTTTTGACAACTTATGCAAACTTGTGAAGGTTTTAAAGACCTCTATGAAGATAGAATTAAAAACATCACTTGGAAGCCTCTTTTACATAGTGTACATAGTGTAATGCTAACAAATTGATCAAATATATAATTTTCATTAGTAATTTAGACATAAAAAATGTTTCATAAGTTGGCATAAGTTGTCTAAAATGTTATGGTTTGACAGGGCCTTAACATTTAAGTCAAGCATTCATACAAGTTATGAATACAGATGAAGTATGAGTATGACTTAACCTGGAGCTTTGAAGAAACAATGAAAGAAAATGGCAAGAAATTGTGTAATATTTAGCAATATCTGTTGATTTGTTCTGTATCGTTTTTTTTCTTAGAAGCAAAAACACATAAAACACATAAAACAGTATGATCATAATTAGAGGTGCACCGATTGCAGTCTTTGGGCAATTTTTTAAATAACGGACACTGTCAGGTGTTATAAGGTCACAAAACAACTTCAAAGTTCCAAGTTTTGTTTTTTTTTATTAAAAAACATTGAACAATACCCTTGGATCAATACAAACTTGCTTTATCTGGACATTAGTGCTCACAGTAGAGCAAAGAAGGACAGTGGCTAATTTTCAGACCTTTGTAGAGGTAGAGAAACCGATCTTTTCCTCCAATATTACCTAAGGATCGGCCGATCTCTGATCTCACAAAATTAAGGGAATTGGTGCTGATAAATCTGCTGGCTGATTTATCAGTGCACCCCTATTCAGTGTAAATAAGATCGAAGGGTTTCATTAGCTGTTCCAAACTAAAGCACACCTAAATTACCAATAGTTTTTCTGAATAAACTGATAACTAGAAGCCACTGAAATTAGGAAACTTCCTTCTCTGGTGGTGGCATGATGTAGGTTTTGTTAAACCACATCCTCCTTAAAATTAATGTGAAAAACAAAGTGTGTTTTTATTTATTTCAACTTCAGGTGACTCCAAAGTAACGAGAAAAAAAAAACCCTGCACTTGCTATAAAGAAACTGCAAAACACAAAAGTAAGATCCATGTCTAATGTCATTCTAACATTCAGAGAAAAACACTGTAAAAACTTAAACACAATAAATAATCTGATGCATCATTTTAAAATATTAGTTTGTGTAATTTCATCTATTCCTGTCTTTAAATATATTTTAAGGTTTACATGATACACGGGAAAAACTGTGCATCTAATCGAGTCTTACAATCTTTTATCCAGCCAAAAATATTATTTTTATCTTTATTTGAGACTGGTTTACTAAACAAGAGCAGAATATGCAAGATTAATAATCTTGTTATCAGAAGGTGTAAAATATTTATCTTGTTAGCCTAAAATTTGACTCAAATTAAGTGAAATAATCTGCCGATGGAGTAAGAAAATTGCACTTGGTAAGATACTTGAAATCACTTAAAACACCACAATTTTTTTTATTTCAAGAATTAAATTATAAGACTTGGTTAGATTGACAATTGCTGCAGTGTAGCTGTTCATTGGTAACAAAAATGAGAATAATTTGACGTAACCAGAGGAACTGAGATGAGCACTTACACAACGTCAACACCCAAACCTTTTTTCACAGGTACTGTATTTCACCACAAAAACCAGTCTGTGAAAATGTCAGTCTTTCAGCAAATTGTGAAAGAGCCAGAACTTTCTTTTAAAAATAATTTGATGAAACTTGCATTCAAATTTTTAGTAAAAAAAAAAAAAAACTGAAATTATCAGTAGTGTGTTTCCTTTTAAGAAAAAAAGAGGAACAGATTTATTTTTTTCACTTTAGAACCAGGGTACCTTGCAAATGTTGGCCAATCAGCATCGAGATCGTAACCCCTGGCTGCCACATCAAACTGGATCTGGTTGAGCTCATAAAGATGATTGATAATCTCAGCGGTGATGTGGGGCTTCAGAAACGGGCTTCGGGCATAATACCAGTCACTGCACAAACAAAGATTACATTTTATGTGCTAAAATGATGTTTATGGTGTTAGAAAAGCAACTTCTTTGAGGAAAAAACTCCACACACTTACAGGAAGTAAAAACAGTTTACTGTTACATTACTTAGTGCTTAACTTTAGTGGCATATTTCTATGAATTTGCAAGATTTTCATAGAAAAACACAGAGTTTACAAACCATGGTGTGTTTGTTTTGCCCTAACTAAACTTTGAAATATTTTTCAATTATTAAAGTATGAAATCAAACTGTGTGAAACAAGATTCACATTCCTACAAAACACTGAGGCCATTAAAGACTGTTCAGCTGAATTAAATGTCAGATGAGTAAAACAAAAAATAACTTTCTGTTCAAAGAACACAGGAACTAAACTGTTCTTAGGAATCACATTGTGTTTCTTTTAAAAACAGAAACAAAACAAGAAGGGAAAGTCTCACATCCTTAAAACGGATACGGAACAAAATACTCCACCTCTGAGATGAAAAAATAAAACAACTTCATGACAATAATTAAAACAAGATAAACAAGTACTATATGTGTCGAAATGCCCTCTGACCTGGTGATCTTTTGATTTATGAAGCACTGCTGCAGAGTGTCGGCAAGACGCTGGTGAACGAGTGAGTAACGGATGAAAGCCCGTCCCTTCCCCAGAGACGTCTTCAGCTGTGGAAACAGACACAAACCTGTTCATTTGAAACACACAGAAACGACAGCAACTGACTCACGTGCATCTTTTCTAATCAACAATAAGAATCTGGGGACTCATTTATAAAGGATTGCGTGGAAACCATACTAAAAGTGAACGTACGGCCAAAAGGCGGAAATGGCGTACGCCAAAAAAAATTCAGATTTATAAAACGGTGCATACGCATGTTTCTGCGCATCTTTCCTTTATAAATCACAGCTGCACGTCAGAGTTTGCGCACGAGGTCCCGCCTCAGGTTCTACCCTCTACACGCCCACATTCAACGATAAAAAGTCAATGTAAAGTACCTCATGAATGTTAAAGTATATTTAAATCAGTCAGCTGATCAATGCCAGCAAAAATGATTGGTTCAGACACGCTCCGTCGTGCGTCTGGAGGATGACAGGTGCTGACTGACAGCTGCTCACGTGAACAGATTGTCTGTAATTGACACAGATTTTCCCTCATTTTGCTTTAGAGTAATCTAACGATTTTTATAAAAATCTCAGCTTCAAATTAATTTTCTCACAGAGCCTGCAGGACGATAAAAACAATAAAAATTTAATTAAATAAGTCAGATAAAATTAAAAGTAAGTCCACCGCTCTTCTCCTCGTCCTCTCCCCCTCCTGCCTGCACTGTTATCCACAGCAGACACCCCCGCCCCGTGCACACACACACACACACACACGTACGCATCGCCTCCGCGCGCGCGTGACAAACACGTACTTTAAACGTGAAGGTTTATAACATCCACACTGGCGAGGTGGATGCGCCCTGCGCGTGTACAATATCTAAAACGTGACTTTTGCTGTCCTGCTGTTCTTGTCGTGGAGGGGTCTGTGGATCAGGGTCGTCTGAGGAGGAAGCAGATCAAGGGATTTGCGCACGGGAACTTTTAAGATTTAAGTTTTTTTTTTTATTTCAAAGGTCCTCATGGCTCAGCAGCARAAGCATAAATATTACTGTTAAGAAAGCTGATGATAAAGTTGAATAAAAATCTAAGTCTGATTATGAAGTGAAATTAAATATCTGACAGTGATCATTACACAGTGTTGCTCTAATTCCTCACTTCATCTGTGTCGCAGTTTCACGTCTCCAAAATGAGCGTACGCATGGGTCAAAGCTGGCGTGAGGCACCGCACATTTTCACGTTAAGTTTGGATTTTATAAATCACAACCTTGGCGTAAAAAGTGGCGTACGCAAGTTTCTGGGCTCAAATTGGGCGTACGCCAGTTTCATACAGTAAATCCGACCCCTGGTCCTTCAGACATGATAACTCTTCATCACAGTTCAGCAAGCACATTTGGTTGAATCGAAAGTTCATCAAGGATGTAAAGTATTTTTTTATGTAATTGATAAGACACTCATTACACCTGAAACAACGGAAAACTGGAACTAAAGTGGTCTACTGGTTAAAAACAAACTCAACAAACTGAGCAATAATGAAATCAGATTTCTCCTGATTTGTTTTTGTGCATTTTTCCCACCATAGAGACACTAAATGTACAATATCGTCACGAAACCACAGACTGTCCAACAAATTGGCAGATAGAGGGATTTAGGTAAGACAACAGATTTACTGATTTACCACAAGGACACCAGCTGGAGCTCCTGGACACATTTATGTCTGTGACTGATGGAAAGATACAAAAACAATGATGGAAGAGTGAACTATGTAAAAGTATGAAGACCTCCATCAGGTTATTTGCTGTACTTTGTATAAGTTTTAACATAAGTTAGTATAAGTTTAACTTACTAATATACTAATACTAATTATTTAACCTTCTCATGTAAAAACAGCTTACTTATGCAGTTGTGGTCCTGTATTTGAATAATTAGTCAAATAGTTGAACATTTTTTCTTAGATTCAGACTTTTTTCAAGCAGAAAATTATGAATATTTGATGGTTACAGCTTCTAAGTAAAAAAAAAGATAAAAATATGCTGTTTCAATGGGCTTGGTTGGACAAAACAGGAAACTAAAAGTAGACACTTTTAACTAACTCTAGCAGATGTGTTAATGGATTTATTATTAAAACAAATAAAAAGACCTCATTAGTCAACCATGATTCTAACCTCAGTTCACTTTTAAAATGAATATGTCTTTAGCTAACCTGGTTTTTAAACAGCAAGAGTACAATAAACAATCATTAAAATGTAACAAATACCCTAAATGCAAAATATTTTCATAACATTTACTAATTTCACAACGTTCATATATCTGATGAGCTGAACAACTGAGGGAAAAAAACAGGAAATAGTAACTGTGTACTTGTAAATTCATTGGAAAAAACTGATATGACTGGTTCATCACCAAAAGCAAAATTCAAAAAACATTTTAGAGATGTCTTTGAATGTTGAGCACAAACAACATATCCATATCTGACACAGTGAATACGTTAAATATAACAAAAGACTAAACTAATTCCATCAGCATGAAGCTCACCTCAGTGAATTCCGGGCACAGAAAGACACAGGTGGAGTGAATTAGCAACACCTTACTGCTCCTCACTAACCAGAGGATTAGTGCCATGGCTGCTGTGCACGTGATGCCATGGCACGACTGAAGCAACCAGGCCATCGAGTGTGTGTGTGTGTGTGTGTGTGTGTGTGTGTGTGTGTGTGTGTGTGTGTGTGTGTGT